GTGGCCTAAAGTCCACTGTCTGAAAATAGTACAGGTAGAAAACAATGAATCTAAGGTAGAAGAGAAAAACACTACCACTTTAGTACATATTTACTATGAATCTAATACTAGGCCTGCATTATCTTATCTCACTTAATCCTCACACTAATCCTGAATGCTGAGGGTTGCTATCCCCTTTTTACATATGAGGAAACTGAGGATGCAGGAGGCTATTCTAAGAACAAAACCTTAACTAACCACAATTTGGGAGGAAGGAAATAGAGGAAAGCAAAAGAGAGAGCACGCCTCATTTTACGTAGCATATTTATTTAATTGTTTTATGTTTCCTTCTGCAAAGGATAACTCAACTTGAGAATTTGGGCTGAATAACTGAGGCTCACTAGGGTCCCTTGAACCACATTTAAAGTCACAGAGTTCCAAGTTTTTACTAAAGGGACTTTCTACTTTTCTACAGGGACTCACATTTTGTTCCACAAATTAAGAACCAATTCAAATAAGTGTCCTGTCTTAATTAAAAAGTGTGACCTATGGGCCTGGTGGTGCACTGGAGAGTGCTCTGCTTGGGAGCGCGGCGGCGCTCCCGCCGAGGGTTCGGATCCCATGTGGAGACCGGTTCCCGCTCACTGGCTGAGCGCGGTGCGGGCACAACACCGAGGGTTGCGATCCCGTTACCAGTCAGTAAAAAAGACAAAAAGGAAAAAAAAAAGTGTGACCTATTGTTTCATGGAGTTGAAAAGACCTGGCAGAATTATTTTCTCTTTTTAAGTGTCAACACAGAAAGTTCCCACAATGTTAGGCTTCCCTAGAACTAGGCAAGCTATCTTTCTGTAATAAACTGTGAGGCATTTGGGGAGAATATAAAAGTTTTTGCTGCCTTAGTTTTGGGTTGCTTCTGTCTGAAAACACGACATAGATCAGAAAAGGTAGGAAAAAATTAACATATTTCAACAGGTCTAGAGTAAAGATCAGTGAGGGCAGATTTGCTCATGAATGCATTACAGGAAGGAAGAGAGCTTCTCTCTTAGAAGGTGCGATGTTGTAAAAATAGAACAGATCAAAGCCCCGTTATAAATACAGCAAATTACCATGACTACAACCAAGGAAAGTAACAGGAGATTCTGCTGTTGGGTTGAATTACTGGACTCATTAATGACCAGTAGTTCCAACCACCTTCTTCTATAGGGAGCCTCACTACTCATGGGTGCTCAGTCTGTTGGGTAGTATAATCTTTTCTCTGTTATTTTCACCTAATGATAGGTGGTAGAGTTGATGCTGGAGCCAGAAAATTTAGGTTTTGGTGGGTTATTTTTGAGTTGTTCAAGGGCAAGTAATATAAGTATCCTTTTGACTTAGTTCTCATAAGGAAACACTAAAAGGATCATTAAATAGAGATTTCTCGCTTGTGCTTTGGCTCCATCTTGGAATGAGCAAGAAGAATTGAGCGTGAAATGCCTTCTCAGTGATTTATGTTATATATAAGGGAAGAGGCAAGATCCTGCTTTGATCTCTATAGGAGCCAGGAGACCAAGGTTCTAATCCCAATGTTTTACTAATTAGTTGTGTAGTCTTTGACAGCCGATCAAACCTCTCTGGGCCTTTGTTTCGTCATCTATAAAACAAAAGAAGTGCTCCAGGGATGGCTGGTTAGTTCAGTTGCATAGAGCAAGATGTTAAACACCAAGATCAGTGTTTCTCAAATTGTGTTTCTTAGAACAATAAATTTCCATTAAACAGCTGCTTTATAGTTTAAAAGGCATTTGGGGCATTTTGACTCCCATCCGGGAGTTGAAAGTAATTGAAAACCCAATTCACCTGGCTTAAATAATAGTGGGATCTTTGTCTCGCTTAACAGGAAGTTCTGAAGTATTCAGCAGCTTAGCAAAACCATTAAAGGACTCAGTCTCTTTTCTGTGCTATCCTCACCACAGTAGCTCAGATCCCTTGATGGGGATAAAATGGCGGTTCCAGGCATCATGTGCAGTTATGACAACATTTTGGGGGAAGGAGGGTGTTTTCATTTTAAGTGTCTCTTTCTATCATTAAGACAGACTTTTTCTAGAAGCCCACTAGGAACTTCCATTCATGTTTGAATGGCCACCAAGTTTTATGTGCCCATACCTAAACTAACCATTGGCAAGGGGAATGGGACCACCGTGATTGTTTCAAACTGAGATAGGAGGGCCTCAGTTTCCCAGAGTCTGGGCTCTCGGGCCGCTCCTCTGAGCCTCAAACCACTCCCCTGGAGTTCAGGCCCCTGCCCTGGGCCCTGAGACAGAAGAGTTACTGTTGCATGTTGCACCTATTTTCAGCACAACAGGAGAAGATTGAGACCACAGGAGGCAAACTTGCTCAATGTCAGAGGTCAAGCACGCATGCTCAGACTAGGAGTTATACACAAGAGTATTCACAGGTTGCATGAAAATGTTAGGTAGCCAACTACAAAAGCTGGAAGCTAGAGCGAAACAGGGCTGAGGCTCATTCTTGTGCCAGCTGGCACTTTGCCTGTGAAGTGTGTATTCCTTACTCTTGCTATTAAACTTGCGTTCGCTTTCTACTCTGATTCTACCCTTGAATCCTTTCCTGCAGAAGAGTCAAGAACCTGGTGGGGACACTGTGGAAAGGTCAGTGACCTGACCTCTCCAGGTAACAAAACAAAATTTTGGTTTGGGTTTTTTTTTTTTTTTTTTGAGTCATTCAAAAGAAAGTAATATAAGCATGCTTTTGACTTAGTTCTCATAAGGAAACACTAACAGGATCATTAAGTAGAGATTTCTCACTTGTTCTTTGGCTCCATCTTAGAATGAGCAAGAAGAATTGGGCATGAAATGCCCTCTCAGGGATTTACATTATTTGTAAGGGAAGAGGCAAGATCCTGCTTTGATCTCTTTAGGAGCCAGGTTTTCAATAGGTAGATTTAAATATATACACACACATACACACATATACACACACGCACACGCACATGCACATAAATTATCTTATATTGCCTAGCTCTGTCCACTGAGAGTACTTGAGAACAATGATACTACTAAAACAATGAGCACACCTAGCACCTGGATCTTGGTTCTGAATACCATTTTCTACCAAATGGAAGTGGGGATTCTTGGAAAAATAGTTAATTCCCGGGCTGGGGCAGGGAAAGTTTAAGATGAGCCTGGAATATCTCATACCAGAAAGCAAAAAAGTGCTCAAAGATTGAGGAGGGTGTATCAAAAGGACACAGACGCCAGCTTCCACAATCTGACCATCAAATTAGCAATACATTAATTTGATAGTAACATTTTAACCCATTGAATAACAGAGAAAACCCTGAGTCCATACAGATATAAATAAGTAAAGGAATAACTTAAAAGTTTGGTGAGAAATAGGATATTTGCATAGTTTTAAAGCACCTCCCCACAAAACAGTAACTCATTCAGGAGAAAAGAGTAACTTGACAGTGGAGAAGTCAGGCAGACAGCCGCCTTAATCAGGTGATCAGAGAGAACGCTGCAATAGTGAGATGAATATAATGCAATGGAATTAACATAGCGTCTCTCCGTGAGAGTCCCGTGAAAGTGTGTAACTTGAATATAGTAAAGAGGAAAACCAAACTGAAGGACGATCTACAGAATAATTAGCCTGTGATCTTCAAAAATATTCAGGTCAAAAGAGTAAAGACCAGACTGAGGAGTGGGTGTCCCAAACTGAATAAGACTCAAGTGAAGTGAGATTCGAACTGGATCCTTTTGGACAATTGGAGAAACTTGAAGGGAGTCTGAGGACTGTTGTAGAAACAGAAGGATGTTAATTTCCTGATTTTTGGTGGTTGCATTGTGGTTACAGAGGAGAGTGTCCTTGTTTGTAGGAAATACACAGGAAAGTATTTGGGGGAGTGGTGATGGGCATCATGTCAACTTACTCTCAAATGGTTCAGGGGGAAAAGCTCATTGTGTTATCTTTACACTTTTCTGTAATTTTGCGATTCTTTAAAAATTTTTTGTCAAGAAAAAAATCAGCACAGCTGGATCTGTCCTCTATAATAAATTACAAATTCATAATGTGTGTGCATGTGTGTGTGTGTGTGTGCATTATTTCAGAACTGATTTATTCAGATCCAAACGATGAGAAATACCCCATGTAAATGCCAGGGTTTGCAGTACCTTAAATAAACCGATAGAAAAAAAATGGACACGTCACTTTCACATATGAAAGTGGAAAGTACAACTTGGAATACAACCACTAGAAAAACAAATATATATTCTGCTTTTTATTAAAGTGTTGTTTAAAACCGTCCGCTAGATCAATAATCAGTAAATAAAATTCATTATTTTCTTTTGTACATGTTCTTGCAATAGAGTGTCCAGATAAAAACTTTGTCTATCAGGTCGGTTCATGTGATTAAGAAAGAAAACCTAAGAGTCTAATCTTTGGGCCTACCTTGAGCTAACTCCTGTGTCTCGTGCATGGATCTGGCACCTTCATGTACTCAAGACTCAGTCATTCTCTCTCTGCTCCTCTCTCTGATATTACATGTGCTTGTTATATCTTCTTAAAGTCCGTCTTGAAAGTAACCTCCCAGGATCAGAGATCTTCTTTAGGTACTTTTTATCCCAAGGTTCTTAATTTGGTGACCAGAAGGAAAGATTTTAAAATATATATATATTTTTAAGTAGTTCCACTAGAGCCCAGTATCTAAACACTCCTGTTCCCTTCAAGGTAAAAGATATTAGCTGGTCACATTGACCCTGATCCACAAGACTTTGTAGAATCCTCCTGGCTCGAAGTAGTGTCAGGCTTAATAGGTTACTTCTTTTTCTTTAACTGTGAGCTGTATGGTCATGGTTTGGTCCTCAGGTTGCTGCCCTGACTCTGGGGCAGATTATCATCAGAGGACACTGTCTTGCATTGCACTCAAAGGACGATTTTCATGTCACAGTAGTTATGCTCCTTCCCATAGTCTGCTCCACTGAGGTGACAATGTAGCTGCCATGAAATCACATTTTCTGTTGCAGAGAGCACTACACAATGCTCTCCGGTATATGAATGTGCTTTCCTTTTAATTTTGAATGTTGTGCATTTTCCTTCCCCTTTGTTTTTGCTTCTGAGTAAAGCCTTGTGATGTAGTTCATACAACCCTTAGGGTGGGAAGCTGAAAGAAAAGCATGTTGAAGATGAATATTTATTTTGAACAACATTGAGTCCATTTATTTGAAACACTCAGACTGGACATCATATTTTTAGGTCCATATGGTACTGTCTTACACAAATCTAATGTAAAATTCACTGATGCATATAAATGGTCCAAATCCATTGTTGTACCCTAATTTTTAAAAAGTCTTATTATATAAACAATATGCTAAAAAACCTAAAATAAAATACACAGACACTTCTGCTATAAAATAACGTATGTATTTCTGAAAACATATTGCCTTAGCAAAATTGCATACTAAAAGTAACAGGACTTACAGGAAAAATAGGTTTAGGAGGAGACCACCCACAGCCTATGCAATTGTACAAAAAGGCTAGAGACAGCCCCAGAGAATATGTTTAAAATGTGCAAAACAACACAGTTGAAATGCTAAACTTGAGGGTGCTTAGGCAAGGAGGATGAAGGTGGAGGTCTGAGTCCAAAATAAAGTGTGACTTCCCAGGAACTTGGCAAGCCCCTGAGGATGTACCATTATAGGGAAGAAGCCCTGAGTACAGGTACCTATTTTAAATTTTCTTAAAGTTGAACTGCAAGGGCTTGTTTAGCAGCTGAGCTGATGGCTTTTCTTTTCCTGCTGAAGGTCATAATTCTACTGCCACTGTTTGGTTCCCTTGTCTTGGAAAAATGCCATAGGAAGCAACCTGAATACATTATATTAACACCATCCTCCTATTTGCCAGGTGAGCATGAGATGATTGATATTACAGAAACATGCATTGCAACACAACAGACTGTATGTAGTTTGCACACATTTTCCCCTCCCACCCCCAGTTTTCATAGTTCACTAGTGTTCTGCTCTGCTAGTGCGTATGTTTCTTTCCATTTCACGCTCTAGTAGGTCAAAACAAAAAAGGGCGGAGGTGTTATAAAAGACCAGCTTCCTACAAAAACCTCAACAAAACCAAGAGAATCAAGTGGAAAAGCTCACTGCATTTCATGCAACTCCCACCAGCTAGAATAAATTAATTTGCATGGAGGAAATAAAATGGTGGAAAGTTATAAGATTCTTGCTTTTCTGTAGTTTTAGCTTCTGCCTTTTGGATCTTCAAGAAAACACACATGCGTGCACACACACGCAAAATCTTCCCATCTAGATTCTTTTCTTTTCATTTTCTTTACATATTTTGCATGAGGAATTGCAAGGCATCCAAAATGCCTGAAACATTTCTGCTTAAATTAGTTAAGCCTTGTGTTCATTCATTCAATGCAAATTTATCCCGTACTCCCTTTGTTCCAGGCCCTGTGCTAGGATCTGAAGATATGGAGTAAATCCAATTACTCACCACCTAAAGGACTATTGTGGTAGCTAAATGAAAATACTACAAATTACAATATGGTGTGGGAAGTGCTAAACTGATAAAGATGTATATAGGATATTTTGGAGCACAGGAGGGGCATGTGTCCAGGGGTGGTCCTGTGTGTGACAGTAGGGAGTCAAGGATGGCTTCCCAAGGGGATATACCTTCCACTACATGAGCTTAACTGCTACTATTTGTTTTTTAAGATGAGCTTCCTTAAATTCTACAAGGTGATTTTAGAGATTGACTTTCTAGGGCCAAAAATCAGACTTTGATTTTCTTCCCTTCTCCTGAAAGGCAACTAATTAATGAACCTCCTTTTTCAAATCTCAGGTCACACTGTTGACTTACTTTGGCCATTTTTGTCTTGGGATGATGTTTCTTCATTATTTGACCTTGATCTGTAACTTTCTAGTGTGTGATCTGAAATTTCATTTTCTGCAAGAAAAAAAAATTAAGTTACTAATTTTCTAATTTCTGGTGGCACAGACATAAGATCATACCTCCGTTACTGTACAATGGTAGTCTTATCACACCCCGTCCCCTACTTCATGTCCTCATTAATTCAACACATAGGTTTTTTGTCTTTTCTATGATTTCTGCAGGCACTGTGCTAGGCACTGTAAGACTTGTGGAAGTCAAATTACAGCAGATTAGAATCAAGTATTGTCCTTTGGAAAGGAACAATTTCGGTAGCCCCAAAAGAAAATGGGGGTGAAGCATGAATGGTAGATTTTGAAACTATGCTATGGCATTGGCCTGTTGTACAGGTACAGCTGAAGGGTCAGAACCTTATGTGTCTATTTATAATGAAGATATCAGTCTGTGTGAATAGCTAGATAGAAGTATATTTAAATAGCAGAAGTGTTTCTTTTAAGAGTCAGAGTTATTCAGAGATGTAGTATTTTTCATTGGGACATACGGAGTTCTCTGTCACTGAAGGTATTTGACCAGTATGTGGCTAGATCAGCATTGTCCAATTGCACTGTAATTCGAGCCACATGTGTAATTTAAAGTATTCTAGTAGCCACACATTCAAAAAGTAAAAAGGAATAGGTGCAATTAATTTAGTAATACATTTTATTTAACTAGTACATCCAAGATATCATTAGGTATATTATATTTGTCTGCATGTGTGTGTATACTAAATCTTCAAAATTGAGCATGTATTTTATCCTTAAAGCACATCTCAATAGGGATAGCCACTCATTAAGTGCTCAATAGCCATCTTGTGGCTGCTGTGTTGAACAGAACAGGGCAGATAATCACTCAGAATTAAAGAGGTGATTTAATCCTGGCACATGTTTATGGGATTAATTGAATAGATGGCTATTTTGGATAACTTCTAAGGTCCCTTTCAGCTGTGATATGTGTTGCGTCTGTGTATCTTAACAAGCGTCTTCTATACTAGCTAAATAATACATTTTTTGTTTCCCATGATAACTTTCTAATCAGAATGCTTAAGGAAAAAGTGCTAATACACTATGGTTGAATGAGGCTGAGTGCATTCTTGCCAAGTAGGAATGGAACTGAAACAGTCTTTTATATTCAATCTTTGACTGATCACTACTAGAATATGAATTTCTTGAGAGCATAGATCTGGTCTGTCTTGTTGACAGATGTGTCCCCAGTGTAGGGAACAGTGCCTGGCATACAGTAGGTGCTCAGTGAATGCTTATCGAATGAGTGGATGAATTAGCTCTCCATTTTGTATCCTTTTGTGAATAGAAGTGTCTGCAACTTAATGGCAATTCTTGGAGCTACTCTAGTTGCTGCTGGCTACGGGCTCTGACTATAGTCCCTGGTGATTCACAACTGTGTTTACTAGAAAACAATTGCTTATTTGAGTGACAAGACGTATCAAATAGGTTGCGCAGCATCTAACAGAAAGACTTTCATTGACAGAATTTTTCTTTATTCTAACCGATTGTTTTGGCATCTTAGAACCTCCATCAGATTCTCTGCCCACTCACCTTTTTTCCATATCATGTGTGCTTTCCGCAGCTTCATTATGAAGAGCTGGACTATGAGGAAGAGTATGAGAATGAGGAAGGACACCAGAGTGAGTAGCAGAATGCCACTGTTCTTCCTTGCCAATCCTATGTACTGGGGATTTGCTTCTGTAAGGAAAACAGAAGGATTTTACACGGTTTGGGTTTTGTTTTTGTTTTTTGGTCACTAGTAAGATATACATTCCTTTCACCATGTAGTATGGGCTCACATATGGCTCAGGTAAAGAGATGAGAGAGAGCTTACCCCTGAAGGCAAAGAGACTCATACTTCTATCCTCCAAAAGCAAGCAAACAGGAAAACAAACAAAACAAAGCAAAAAACAAAAACAAAAAACAAAGTAGGGTGATTTGAAAATTTTTTTAAGTTATGCAGATGTTAGACTAGTTGTGTTTCATTTCTAGAGAAAGCATTGAGAAAATTGACTTATAGTCAGGGGATTTAAAATAGCTATAAGAAATGAATTGTTAACAAAGTGTAGTTAAGTAGCAAGAGAGATTGTTAAGGAGTTTGAATAACTATCCAAATAAAATGAAAATTCATTTATCTTGGCTACGAATAACTATCCAAATAAAATGAAAATTCATTTATCTTGGCTACGTTAAATGTGGCCCTACGTGAAAGCATTTGGGGATAAGCCAAATGAACTCTTAAAAGTCTTTTGAAATCTAGAATTCTGATGCTATGGGCTGCAATTTTGCTAAATGTCCTAGTCTCATCTCAAGCAATTAAGGAGTAACAGCTGTGTGCGGAACAGCATCCTTGAAGCTACATAAGATACAACCCCTGTGCTGTGGTGGGGGAGTGTTCTCTCCACATGTAAACAAATAAATTAATAAAAATAAACAAAAGTAAGATATCCTATGTCGAATTCTGGATCTCTATGTGTTTATATCACAATGTGTTCAGGAATTCAGATGCAAGAGTGGTCCCTCAGGGCTGAGTTGGTCAGAAAAGTTTTCAGTGAAAATATTGGCCATGAAGGAGGACTAAGGAGAGGACTGATAAGGTCTCTTCTTCCATCAGGGGCAATCAGGGTAAACAAGGGCAGGCAGGGCAATTGAAATGGGATGATGTTTTCAGAGAAAAATGTGTATCTTGTTGGGCCTTTATGGAGACAGGACTGTAGAGGTAGGTCCTGCTGGTGGAGGATTTGGGGCTCCTGCTCTGAGTGGTAGGCTGCAGAAGCCATGAAGGTTTTCAGAACATAGTTGTGCAGACTGCAAAGGGATGTTTGGACAGTAGCTGCTAAAAATGGACCAGAAGAGGAGAAACTGAAATTACGGTACTTCATGCAGGAGATGTTGAGGGCCTAGGTCAGGGGGTGGCAGTGATAATGGATAAAATACCTGAAGAGAAGACTTAAAAGTCTTTGGAAATGGACCAATTTGATGTGTGTGTGTGCGCGTATGCATATACATACATATAGACATACACATATATACTTGTATACACACATGCAGAGGTTTGGAGGGTAACACTGGAATTTCGGGCATGTGCAATGCTTTGAACAGCTGATTTTGTGGAAAAAAGGGTTTGGTTTTTAGTGATGTTGAGTTTGAGGAGATGGTAGAAAATCCTGGTACAAAACCAGGACTATTGCTCAGGAGAATTTTCTGGAAATACAGGTATAGAAGTCTTCTGCCTAGTAGCAACAGGAACAGTCTTGGGAATGGGTAAACTCTTTATGAATTAAGGAAGGAGCAAAAGATGGAGAAGTAAAATCAGAAGTGCATCCACATTTTGGAAGTTAGAAGGGTAGGTGGAGTTAGCTAGTAGAAACAGAGAAGCAAAGGCTGGCGAAAAATAACAGGACCAGGCAAAATACGTGAGGAAGCCAGAAGGCACTAAATCAAGAGGGGACAAGGGAGTGATCAACCAATGATGTCATGAAGGGCAGAAAGATCAAGAAAAAGGAGGACTGAAAAAGGCCATTGGAGTTTTTGATTAAGAGGTTAAAATGTCCAGTGTCCGTTCTAAATGTGGTAGGTAACACTTACCACTGGTCAAGCCAGGTTCTTTTGGGTCTTGAGTGGTTTGTTCTTTCTCTTCCTTGTCAATCTCTGATGTACTAGAATCTTTCATTACTGCAACTAAGGAAAGAAAGAAAGACATGATGTATGCATACATCATATATATGTGACTACATGTAAGTATCTACTCATACATATAACTATCCAGTCTTTCCAATGCAGCTTTGGAAACCAAATTAAGTGATCCTCATCAAAAACAACAATGAGATCATTTTTAAACTACTGATTTCTTGCAAAAATAGTTGCAAATGGCCAGGCTCACCTTGCCTTATTTTATTATATTTTTTAAGATAAACATTTATTGAACACTTACTCTGTGGCAGCCCTTGAACTGAGCATTTGGTATATATTATTTCGTACCACAGCTCTGAGAAAGCAGAGGTTTAGAGCAGTTAAGTAAATTACCTAAAGTCCTGCAGTAAATAAGTGGCAGAGTCAATACCGAAACTCAGTTTTTTCTAAATCCAGAACCCCAAATTTAAAGCATTATTTTATACTTTTTCCCTGAATCAGGCCTTACAGGAGAAGGACTTTAGGATGCTTCAAGAAAACAATTGAACACTGAGTGAGAGATGGCATCCCAAGCTTTGTGGATAGAAAACCCACAGCCTGAAATGCACAAAACAATGATTTTTATGTTGAAATTTAGCCTCAATTGCCATTCAAACCTCTGCTTGCCTCCCCCTTAGAAGTAAGATGTACTGTGATGTTTCTGCTAGGTAAGATAAATTATAACAGCAAGAGATCACTTTCAGATTTCATTGCTTATCTTTCCAATTTCCTTTTCTCCCCACTCTGCAGTCTCTTGCTTTTTGTTCCATCACGCAGCGCCACTATGTGGACCCCGAGGGGAATGAAGCCTTCCATTCTACTGAAAATGGGTATTATTAACAGTAATAAAATCGTAAAAATTGAAAGCTGAAAGAAATTTTAGGAACTGTATTTCTTATATCTTATATATGAAAAAGCAGAGCAGAAAATTGAGTTGTTTAGTAGTGGTGCAAGCCAATTTAAAGACAACTAAATTCTAAACACGTTTAAAAATATTGGATTATTAAAGCAAGTGATGTGGCTGTTCCACTTTATAATATTTTCAATTTCCATTGTCCTTCAAAAAACTGTATGGTATATATTGTATTTATTGGTGTTTTAAAACCCCAAACATTTACTTTTAAATATTATTCAGGATACAAATTTAAAAAAATGTGATCAGATACTTAGAACTATGAACATGGTAATGATCTGAAAGCACTCATTCCACCAAATGAAATTTTTATAGAGACACTGCATGAAACAGAAAGAGAACATGTACGAATTTATGCCTTTTTGGATGAGGCTAACTGTCTTGCTCAAAACACTATAATAAATTCATTCATTCACTCATTCATACTGCATTTTCAGACACTATGCTAGATAAAATACAAAGTTAAATTAAATATGTGATCATTGACCTGAGTTACCATCTAGTGGGTTCATTGTCTAAAAAACTGGAATTATAATCCAGGCTTTTTAAATTCTTCTGCATTTGTAGTTCAATTCTGTCATCAAAAATGACCTGAGTTCTTGAAAACAAAGTAATTTATGTGCCTTTGAAGGTGGTTTTGTTATTCAATGACAACAATCTCTAGCTCCTGCTTCTTTGCTCTCTGTTGATATCAAGTCTGTGTTTTGTGTTTGGTCTGTTTTAGATAGGAAAACAAAGAAATAAGTCTACCCCATAAATGAATTCAACCTTGTCCTTTATTGCAGAGGAAGTTTAAATGTTACAATCACACACGTGTGTGTGTGTGTGTGTGTGTGTTTGTGTGTTTGTGTACATATAGTATATCTCAAGCAAAACAGCACTCAACTTATAAGGTGTTATGTTACCCTGAAGCCCATCCCACTAAGTAAGTACTCCTGATATGCCTCTACTTCAGGACACTGCAAAGCTGGAGCCAGTTGTGAGGGAGGGGGTCTGTATGATCTTATTAAAAATTAAAATAAAAAATATCCTTAAAACTTAGAATTAGAAAAGTGACAAAGAGGCATGATTTTAAAAAAAAAATTTTTTTAAATGATTTTGACACTTACCAGTACTAGTGGGCTGCCGAGGGTCTTCAGAGGACAGAGAGCTTTTCTCCAGAGCATCTGAAGCCGTCTCTTGATCAGTAACTAGGAAAGGGGAAAAACAAAATTCTGCAACTACAGAGAGCAATTTTACCCACATTATGCTCAGTAAAGTAGATTGGAAAATGTATTTAGCTGCTACCTCCTTGTAGAGGTTGTGCAGAACCTCAGAACTGTGTGTTCTGCAGCTCTTGCTCTGGTTTTTAAATCTGCATCCCGCTGATTACCCATCTGCTAACTTGACTGGCTTAAAACTACGGCTTGCTGGACCTCTGTGTGGTGGTGCATTTGGCATTGGTAGGCAAAGGGTATTCGCTGTCTCCCACCTATTTATCAGTCCCTCAGTCTGTCTGCCTGTCTATCTACCCATCCACATATCTGTCTATCTACTTAAGAGTTAGGAGGCTTTGGAGTCAGGCTTAGACTGGATTGAATTCCAATGCTGCTATTTGCTTATACCCGAGTTGGACAAGATGCCTAATCTCTCTAACATTCAGTTTTTTTCTTATCTGTAAAATGAAAATTCTAACAACATTTATCTTTTGGAGTTTTTTATGAGAATAAATATATTCATTCAGCTGGCTGGTTAGCTTAGTTGGGTAGAGCATGGTGCTGTGAACACCAAAGTCCAGGGTTCTATCCCTGCACTGGCCAGCCTCCAAAAACAAAAACAAAAAGTTCATTTATATAACATGTTCAATATAAAGCCTGGCTATTTATTAAGCACAATGCTTGCTAAATGTTATTGTATATTATTTTTAAAATTGCTTAGAAGTGTTCTCAGGGGTTCCATTTAGTATAGATTTTGCAAAACAGGCCTGCATTCAGGGAGCCTGTTGTAACAACTGTGCCTGTCAATTTTGATACTGACATGTGGCAGGTGGGTAATATTTTCATGAAATTTGTGAGTGGTTTTTGGTGTTTGTTTAACCAAATAGTTTCCTGTGATCTTGTGAATTTATTAGTCAAACATTTAAAATTTTTGAAATAAATGCCTGAATTGTGTATAAAAGTTGTGTATAAATGAATTGTGTATAAAAATGTCTGAGTTGGGTATAAAAGCTCTGAGAAAAAAAAAAAACTATTAAGGAAAAATTAGAGAAACAGTAATATAGACTAAAGCTAAAATGAGCTCTGTGACCACAAAGATGGCACAGAAAATTGAAGAAAGAGGAGAGCTACTGTCAATGAAATGAGGGAAAAGCTTGAAACCTGGTCAAGCAGAAGTAATGGAAGGGGTGGGTAGAAATTGGTAAAGAGCCACAAAAATGTTTACACTGTGTAATGATAAAAAAATTAAAAGGATGAAATATACATATATTATATATATTATATATATATAGCAGAAGTACTGGAAGCAAATTATAAGAGCATAATAAGGGAAATATTGGGGACCCATAGTATAAAACTTATCGATAATGATTAAAATCTTTTAACTCAGTGTATACAATGTGAATTAAGATAATTATATGTTTATGAACAAAACAAGTTATATATATATATTTAAAACTAGAGTTTGTGGGCCGGCCCGGTGGCACACTGGATAGTGCGCCGCTTGGGAAGCACGGCGGCGCTCCTGCCCGAGGGTTCGGATCCCACATACAGACCGGTTCCCGCTCACTGGCAGAGCGAGGCGCGGGAGCAACACCGAGGGTTGCGATCCTATTGCTGCTCCCTGGTCCGGTACGGGGGCAACACTGAGGGTGGCGATCCGTTGCCGGACACGGAAAAAGACAAAAGACAAAAAAAAACCAAACAAACTAGAGTTTGTCCTCTCAAATAACAAGCTGCTAAACAGTTGCATGTAAACCAAATGTTGTTTTGAATAGATGTTGTTGAATAGGATACAAACACATTATGATTTCTCTCCCTAGTTGGTCAGAATGTTATATAGACCTCTACTATTGATGGAGTTTGGATGTATTGTCCTCCTAGAACTCGTGGAAATCTGATCCCCAATGTGGCAGTGCTGGAAGCTGTTTGAGTCATAGGGGTGGATCCTTCATGAATGGATTAATGCTCTCCCTAGGTGGGGGGAATAATGAGTGAGTTCTCTATTAGTTCCCACAAGAGCTAGTTGTTTAAAAGACCCTGGCACCTCCTCTCTCTCTCTCTTGCTTCCTTTCACCATGTGATATGTTTGTACCCACCGGCTGCCTGCTGCTTTCCGCTATAAGTAGAAGCAGCCAGAGGCCCATTCCAGATGCAGCTGTCCCAGAATCGTGAGCCAAATAAACTCTGTTCTTTATAAATTAGCCAGTCTCAGGTATTCTGTTATAGCAACACAGAAATGGACTAATACAGCTATCAAGTATGGTATCCACTAGATACATTGACTATTTAAATTCATTAAAATTAAATAATATTAGCAATTTAGCTCCTCAGTTGCACTAGCCACATTTCAAGTAAGAATTTTGGACAACTTGTATCCACCACTGTGAGCTTGTCAGTTTCCAAATAGTTAAAGACTTCTGATGAGATCAATGACGATATTAATGAATGTGATATTGTGTCAACATTTTAAAGATCTGTATAACCCAGTGAATCAGTATTTTCCAATTAAACTAGTCATGATGTTACAGAATTCATTCCTGGGTAGAACATCCAGTCAAAGTGCCTGATAGTTGGGTAGATTTGAATTGAACAGAGTAGAGAAGAGCATTGATGTGGATCCAGGGCTGACATAGCAACCTTAAGAAACTGCCTCTTGTCAAGTTCTGGTGCAGCATCAAAGAAGAAAATCCACAATTATCTGGAAAGGCTATCAAAATACTCTTCCCTCCCAACTCTGTATTTGTGTGAAGCTGAATATTTGTAAACATTTATTTCAAGCAAAACAACATATCAGAAGACATTGGCTGCTAAAATTACAAGAACTTGTTTTCTGTTAATCCAGACATTAAAGAGATTTTCAAAATGTAAAATAATGCCATTTTTCTCACTAATCTTAGTATTACTAAATGTAATTATTTTTTCATTAAATAAGCCATTTTTGTAAACATGTAGTGTATTTATTACTTTTAAAATAAATAAATAAATTCATATTTTAAAAATTCCTGAGTTTTAATTTCTAATAGGTAACTATTGACAGATATAACTCACATAAGTAAAAGTTCTTTGGGGTCCTCAACTATTTTTAAAAGTCTAGAGAAGTCCTGAAATCAAAAAGTTTGAAAACTGTTGTTTAATTATTTTTTTCATCCCTTCCTCGGGTAAATAATAGGAAGCCAAGGTTCTTCACTTGGAATACTAAAAAGACAAAATATATAATTTCAAAGATAATCTAATCTATTCCAGTCGTTCTAGTCTCCTCCTCCTAGCATCGCTCTGTGGGTTTTTCAAAGGCAGGCACTTCTCTTACTCAGCATGGGGTGCTGGGTTTATTCTCATTTTCCTTGGGTCCTACTGTGCCCAGAGTATAGAGATGAAAGGCATCGGAATGCTTACTTGTAAATGTGTTTTAAAGCATCCTCAGCTAGTACATTTAAAAAACTAATCAGATGAACAAAATAATTGTAATATCTTTATGTCAATGTAGTAACTCATCAAGGGAAAAAGTAATAAACAAATGGAAGCTGCCAACAGCAGATACTGGCCTTCCTCTTTGAGTACTTGTTGGAAATCTGGCAGTGGGTTTAACTATAATCAATAGTTAAACCACAAATAACAGTCAAGTCTTAACCTATTATTGGAAACCTTTATAGCTATGACTTTGAGTTATGTACAACCATAAAGGAGGAGAAACTGCAATTTCCTCCTCCATAGTAATTTTTGTAGATGGCTTGAACAAATTGCAGAAAATAAAAAATATATATTTTTTCCAATATTGTTGGTTCTCTTCTTTAAGAATCTGATGTCTTTAGGAAACATTTAGATAGCTAGTCTCATCCCCCGGGTGCTCCATGCTCTAAGTCCGCTGATGGGATGGAGGCGTGGTGTGGGGAATGAGTCATGAAAGGGTAGGAGCATGTGCGTCTGTGGGTCCTGAGTCTTCTAATGAGGCATCCTCAGTAACTGCTTTTGGTTTGATGAGAAAGTGACCTATGGAAAACATGTGGTAGCAAGAGGGGACTGTCAACCTCAGCAACAGCCCCCACAGGGCAGCTTTCCCACAGTGAGGTTCTGGTCAACAACCTTGCCCTTCACAAATGCTTTTCATCATCAACTATGTCATTTGGAAAAGGAACCCTTTCAATGAATGATCGTCATCCAGCAGTTCCTTTTTCATTAATGTGAGTGATTCCTTGTATGTCAGGAATTTCTTTTTACACTGATAAGTATCTTGCAAAATAATGAAGCTCAGAGTCCTGCTAATTACAGACTTGGGATTCATGGGACTCCTTACAGGATACCCCTTGGCTCAAAGAGTTGTGTATAGTTTGAAAGTTACTTCCTGGACTTTTGGGTGAGGAATCAGAATAGAGAGTCTGAAAATAAGGGCTCCTCTTCACACTTAATATTCGCTGTTTCAAATGGTGTTCTAGTCAGAATATTAACATAGTTAAACTAACATCTTCAAAATAGTCATAACAAAATAAATCTAAAGAGCAATACGGTCTTAATGTAACATGCAATGTGCATATTTTGTATCAAAATAAAATTACGTTAATAAGTTTAGATTTAGTTAGTATTATCTCCTTTTGGGTTGAGTACAAAGTTGCAGAATGATTCATACGATATCTCCAAAAACATGGCTGAAATAATACTATCTAAAGTCAAGTTATGCTAGCTGTCGTTACCAGAAAGCAAGCATAGCACTGTGCATATGGTGCTCTGCTAGGCTTTCTGCATAACTGAGGCTCTTCTGAACGTTGAAACAGTTGCAACCCTATCACTCCACTGGAGAAATTGTAGTCATTACAGGAATTTGCTATTAAGGAGAGCTTTGTTGACAGTAATCTCACTCTAAAGGACTTTGCCCACTCCATTTAGTTTAGTTTGATAGTGCAATATTAAGGTAAATTAAAAATGATTAAAGACAATCATTAGTTCTTCTTACCCAAACCTTCAAATTGGAATGGTGCCACCAGTTTTCTCCCGTGCAGTCCTCTGTGTCGGATGATGCAGGCCACTGTTGAGTTTTTGCCATATGTGTGGACTATGAGTGTGCTGGTGGTATTACATTTCTTCCCATCAGTTTCAAATTCATGGTGGGTTCCACCTACGTAGCAATTTAAAGAGATGTATGAGGTTATGGCTATTGGATGCGATTGGATGGGTTTGGTTCTATTAGAGACCCATGGCCTTGACTTCATGGCAGACATGATAGATTTCTAACCTCATTTTAAACCTCAGCCAGCTGCCTAGTATGTGCCTTGGCTCTGGTCATAAAAGCAAGTAGGAGAAGGAGGGTGAATAGGTTTCTATAAACCCTTCATTACTAGAAAAAAATTCAAAGCTTATAGTGGTTATATGAGAAGGACAGATTGATGTTGTAATACACAAGGACCCAAGAGCTTACTCAGGTTGTATAAATAAGGCAAGTTAAAGGAGAAGTATTATGACGTAAAATTGGCACTGGATTGGGAATCAGATCTGGGTTTTAGGTCTTTTCTCTCTAGAACTCCATTTGGCCCTCAGTTTTCTCAACTGTAAAGGGCCCCTTGTAGCTCTGAAAATGTATGATTACTTAGATATCAAAGGTAATTTCTGTTGAAATGTAAGGAAACTCTAAATAGTTACCAAACATCACAATTAATCCATTATCCTACTTCAATCTAAAGTTCAAAGTTTAGATTCTTTGTTACCACAATATTTTTACTGTCATTGTGGGTATAACACTACATAAGGAAGATCATATCTGTTCCAATTACATGTATTATGTTAAATGTATTTTCAATTTTATGCCTGTGAAAAAGTTTATGCTGAGAGGGAATAGCTATATTATACCTCATATTTTAGGAAATTTTGCCGAATTTTAAGAAGATATTATAAATATATTATAAATATTTCACTTTAGCTTTCTACCTTGTCTTAAGCAAAAACATTTTAATTATCTGTGATTAGCCTTTCAAGATCAAGGCATAATACTGATTGACTGTAAGGATAATTTGTCTAGCAATGAACCCATGAATCATTGAATGGCGTCTTCTGGCACCTCCTGCCACCAGAGGGTGCCAGAACATTTAAAAATCCCTTGGAAATTTAAGTAGGAAGAACAAAGAAGAAAAGTGTCTCTACCGTAGAGCTCCATGTCGTTCTGCAGCAGCCAGGTGATCTGGGGAGGGGGCTTGCTTCTCACAGTGGAGCATTTCAGTACAACATGCTCTTCTCCGTTTTGCCTTTTGATAACTGAAGCTTCCAGGGTTGGCTCCAAAGGAGTTGCTAGAAAGCAAAATTGATTTTTCTGTGCTTAATTAGTTGGTCTACATATCGCAGCAAAGCACAGAGCCTAGTATTCTGTAGGAATTGTTGTAGGGTAGAGTCTAATTAAGAGGCATATTTTTCACTTGAGCTTCCCCAGAATACCATCACATTAAAGGGCTTCTATGTGCTTGCAAAAGCTACCTTGAAGTCAGAATGTTTGTTACTCGGTATGGGATTAGTCCCTGAAAAGCCCCAAACAGACTGTGTTACGACAGCTGTTCTTAAATGTGATACATGACTGTATTTGGTTGGTAAAGCTCTAGGCGAGGAATAAAGACATGAATTCTAGTCCCACCTCTCTCACCAACTAGTTGTAAGAACTTGGGTAAATTCCCCAACTTTGTGGTACACTGTTTTCTTGTCTGTGATATGAAGGAGCTGGCAAATGAGTTGGCTCTTGCAGCTGTAAACTTTCATGAGTCTATGTCTCACCTCAAGGTAAGTTAATTCTGTCCCTTCCTAACATCAAAGGTGCATTTCTCTGATAATGGGCCCATTGGTTCTTTTTCTTTGTCCTTCCATCTGGGAATTACTTTTTAGTAAGCTTTACTTCTTCCTCTTTCCCACTTTACTTCCACTTTGGTCCAGAACTGCACTCTTCCACATAACTTAACTCAATCACCCGCCATCGAGACATTGTAAAGACACTTACTAGCTCCAAGTATGCACTGGATCTGTTATGTGCTGGCAATAGTAAGATGGAAAGAGATGGCCCTTCTAGGAGCTAATAGCCTGGTGGTAGACTCAGCCCTTAAACCATTAATTAAAACATCACATGTGCAGTGCAATGATAGAGGTATATACAGGGTGTTACTGGAATTCAGAAGGGCACAAGCAGCCTATGCCAGGATAGTGTGGGAGGTGACCAGTGAAGTAGGAGAAGACACCCCCTGGAGCTGAGTCCCATTGGTTCTCAAAACCCACAGAGAGCCACCTTCTCAGCTACATTCCCACCACGCCTTTGCTTTATGGCAGGCAGCACACTGTAAGAATTCAGCAAGAAAAAGTCCAAGAAATTCATCTGTGTGGTTATGCTGTTTAGAGATCAATAAAAAGCAATGTTCTTAATTGTTCTGTTCTATAAAGACAGTAAGACGTATACTGGACATAGCTGACCATCTACAGGACTGAGCAAGTCCCAGATGGTTAGAAGGCTGTCACTTCCTATCCGTGCCCCTACTCCACCTCAAACAGAAGAGAGGAATTGTTTTGGCAGAGGATGTGAACAGATCATCTGGTGCAGCTACCTCTGAATTCATTCTGCCTTAGAACATGCTGTCGTGAGGTTCTACTTTATTTACACACGTTTTGCCTTCTCACCTAGTGTGCAAACTTCTTATGGGCAGTGCCCTAGACGGTGCCCTAGAGCCTTCGATTCTCTGGAGCCTCAGCAGACCATGCCTGGCACATGGTCACAGCTCACCAAATATTAATTCTCTTTCCTCTTAGTTCCCCGGAGAGAAAAACTAGTTGACATCAAAGATACATTCCACAAGTTCACAGTTTAATCTAGGGCTTGCCATGAAAAATGCTCTCTTCTGTTTCCTTTCAATAAAAGATGGCTGAGGTTTCCTAGGAAATGCTTATAAGCAAACTTTCTTTAACCTAAAATGTTAAGTTTAAAAATGGTGTACTGTGTTGATAACAACCTTGTTTGCACACCGGGTTTCCTTGCAGGGTACCTACCTATCACAGTCACCTTCACTTCCTTTGTTCTCACGGAGTCACTGTACTGTAAACACTTGTACACGCCTTCATCCTGCAGGGTTACATTGCTCACGCTGATGGAGAGCTGACGAGCCGAGTGGTAAAGGAGCTGGTATTTGGAATTTTTTAAAGCTGTACAAAGGGGAGATAGAGTTGTTATGAGGAAAAGTATCAGATGAATACAGATTGATCATTTACAGGAATAGCTTTTGATTTTCACACTTTAAAGGAATAAATGTCATGTCTTCGACTGAGCTGCCTTCCAAAGTCTAGTGTTACCAGCCGAATGCCTTTTGAAGTTAGTTGAGGAAATAAAATATTTTGATAGTGGTATCTGTGAAATAAACAAATTGCTTCATTTGTGCTTGTGGGAAATTAAGAATGCTATGCTCGGGAAGGAGGAGGTTGTAGGAGGATTTTAGGTTTTTTTTTTTTTTTTTAATGAAAATGCCCCACTATGATTTATCTCTTTGAAATCTGATTCATTTGAGGTCATATTGTCACAGTGAATATGAAAGAAAGAAAGAAGATAAATTCACTGATAAATGCACCCAGCTGGATGCTTTATATTTTTTATTTTAAAAAGTTTATTATTATTTGAAGTTTCCTATAGATTATGACTTAGTCCTTTCAGGTATTTAGTCAGTGACAAACAAGCAAGCTCCAGAAATTTCCAACCAATAGCAAGTTGTATTACTCCATTTTAGTTGCTTATAACAAAATACTTGGAACTGGGTAATTCATAAAGAAAATGAAATGTATTGCTTACAGTTCCTGAGGCCATCAGGTGGTGGCAACAGTGACCCAGGGGTGTCACATTACTAGATGGTGGAAGCAGAGAGAGCAGAGAGAGAGAGAGAGAGAGACAGACTCTCCTCTTCTTTCAAAGCCCTCAGAACCACGCCCCGACCACATTTTTAACCCATTCACTACTGAATGGTCCTACAATCCAATCACCTCTTCAAGACTCCACCTTTCAATTACCATAATAGGATTTCCCACCCTGTTAACAGTCACAGTGGGGGCTAAGTTTCTAATACATAAAACATGATGAGTCGCTTTAGTGAGTTTTGGGGGGACATAATTCAATCCACTACACAAGTGCTCCTCTTGATTGTGTATTGACCCAGGATTTCTGTCTGAAGTCAAAGTTCCCTTAGCAAATCAGAGGCTCCTGAAATGAGTGTTTTTGTTTTTTACCACTAAGATTTAAAATATGAACATGTCTGAAGTAGTTAAACCTTGAATAGCTGACCAAGGAAGGTGATCCTAATCTGGAACAATGGTGTGTGTCCTGGTACACTAATATTATAATGCACTAGAATTCAGGGGTTCTCAATCTATACTCTGTTGACATTCGAGTCAATAATCCTTTGTTGTGGGGACTGTCCTGTGCATTGTAGGATGTTTAGTGGCATCTCTGGCCTATACCCACTAGATACTAGACCACTGCCCCGTCCCCATTTGTGGCAACCACACTATCTCCACACGTTGTCAGATGTTCACTGAAGGGCAGGATCATCTCTGGTTGAGAACCATCAGGCTAGACCAAGCCATTCTGCTGCAAAGATCTGAGAATGCCCATCTTCTCCCAGTTCGCCAAAAACAAAACAAAACTACAAAAAGCATTATTTTACAGAATTATCTCTATTTAAAATTTTTTCTGTCAGAACTTTTAACCATTAGTATCTACTTGTTCTTTTTTTTTTTTTTTCCTTTTTGTCTTTTTTCGTGTCCGGCAACGGATCGCAACCCTCAGTGTCGCGCCCGTACCGGACCGGGACCGGCAACGGGATCGCAACCCTCGGTGTTGCGCCCACACCTCGCTCAGCCAGTGAGCGGGAACCGGTCTGTATGTGGGATCCGAACCCTCGGCGGGAGCGCCACCGCACTCCCAAGCAGTGCACTGTAGCAGTGCGCCACCGGGCTGGCCCAGTATCTACTTGTTCTATTGAATTCTAGTATTAATAGTTGATTTAGTGCAAAATAATATATTTGGTTATTTTATATTTAACATATGAATACTTAATGATGTTTTCAAAGCATATCAGTTTTTTTGGAGGCTCTGTTTCCTAAACAAAAATGAAGTTTGTTTTAGAGACTCTTCCAAGTATTCAGGAGTTAGGAATATTTTTTTTGGACCCGACCCCTCGGGTGGGAGCGCCGCCGCGCTTCCCAAGCGGCGCACTATCCAGTGCGCCACCGGGCTGGCCCAGGAGTTAGGAATATTTTTTTTGGACCCGACCCCTCGGGTGGGAGCGCCGCCGCGCTTCCCAAGCGGCGCACTATCCAGTGCGCCACCGGGCTGGCCCAGGAGTTAGGAATATTTTTTTTGGACCCGACCCCTCGGGTGGGAGCGCCGCCGCGCTTCCCAAGCGGCGCACTATCCAGTGCGCCACCGGGCTGGCCCAGGAGTTAGGAATATTAAATGGAGATATAAAATGGTCTCATTATGAAGGGGAGGCTTTAGCAAAATATCATCTGAAGTCGAAGAGATGAACTAAATGGACTTTTAGGAATCCCTTTCCATCTCAGGCATGTAGCACTCATTTAATGTGGGTTTATGAAGAGAGGAATGACTGTCCTCTTTCCCAAAGTAATACATCTTGCTGATTTCCACTGCTTAGAAATCTCGATTTCATGTCAAGACCAACAGGAGGAGAAGCGATGTCTGGAAGGGGCTTTGTAAAGTGACTTTGTATTCCTCAGGGGAAAACAGAGCAGCTGGCTCCAGATGTGGGTGAGGTGACAAAGGGGCTGTGAAGACAAAGGGCCCCCAAGTCAGTCTGCTGCCTGTTCACCATTTTGCTGTGGTTGTTTCGTGGCCACTGAGAGTCAAAAAGTGATGTGGGGGTGGGGAGGGACATGGAAACGTGTTTTGTAATTTGAGCCCCCTTTAACAGGCATTCTGGTGGGGTTTCCATTTCAGACTTCCTGCCAGAAAAGAGCAGCCATGTGTGAAATAACAGGCTTCAGAGGTGTGATTCACGTGTAACAGTAGGTGGGCTGAGCCCACCCTTTGGGTGACTCATGCAGGCTTTCTGTCCCACCAACCTGATTGGCTGGAAAACCCCTCAGGTGGAGGTCTGGTGGTGATTTTTTCTTTCCTTCTTGCACTTACCAGGATGCTCATTTAAAAAGATGGTGAAGCCTGAAGGGGCCAGCCACTGGATGGAGGCAGTGTTGGTTAGAGAAGTGACACACATCAGAGTGAGCATCTGGCCTTCCTCCACGGTGACAGTTTCCGTGTGGTTAGTCAGAAAGGCCTCTGTGGAGAAAGAGAATTGAGGACGGTCAGGCCGGCAAGGCCAAGCCGCGCCCACGCTGTGGCAGGAATTTAGTCTCAACACAACCTCGTTTGTTCATTCAATCATTCATTACATATTTCTTCTAGAAATCAAAACATAAGCAAGTAAGGAGAGAAGTGGGTATTGTGCATAGTAAGAGCAGTAAAGACACCTCCTGAAGGAGGGGATGGTAGAACCTGGTCTGAAAGAAGGGGTAAGGTATTGATAGGGAGAAAGGGAAAAGTTAAATGACAGTTATTGGGTACTTGCTCTGTCATCTGCCAGGAACTGTGCCAGGTCATATTACCTACATCTCATTTAATTTTCAAAGTAACCCTATAAAGGAAGAATTATCTGTCTCACTTTACACATGAGGGAATAGAGGCTCAAGGTCACTGAGGTCATGGGGCTGGATCTGTACCCAGGGCTGTGAACTTCAGAGTCGATGCCTGTGTAACAAGGTTGGCCTGTCTGATCGATGGGACCCAGAAAATTTGGCGTTCTGCCCTCGGTTTATAAAATGGGCAACTTGTACCTTCAAGTATAAATTGTGTGTTTAGGATTCTAAGAAAGAGTACCCTGTGATGCTTTCACGAATTACAGAGCTGCCCTTCACTGGAAGTAACTAAGCCCCACCTGCTAGAGAACTTCCACCCCAGAGGCAGGATGCTCTAAGATCTCTTCCAATTCAATATTCCACAGCAGCACTTTCTCCAGACAAACATGAGAGTGTAATTTCCCCAAATCACAGCCTCCTGAGAATGATAAACAATTGGTTCTGAGCAGCTGCAAATTTATCCCCCAGAAAGGAAATTGTTGTCTTTACTGCTGATTTGGTACATTTATTGCCATTCATTATTTCTTCAAATTTTAAATTAAAATTTTTTTTTCCTGAGTATAAGACAATTCTTATCAATGAAGGTATAAAACACTTTCATAAACAGAAGTATACCATAGGGCTATAAATTATGAATAGCAAATGTGACAAGTTTCACTGCATCATCTTAAACCTTAAAAAACCAAAAAGCCGAAAGGGAGTTTATTTCCTTGTGCTAAATTTCAAGTATTAGGAACAGTGCTTTGGAGAGCTCTGGGAATTAATTGCAGACTTCTTTGTGTGTTCCATTCCTACGTCGTTAATTTCAATCTAGCCTCCAGCAGTAATAACTCAGAATTATTGTATTGTGTTTATATTGACTTTCATGGGAAAACAGTTTGCTAGAGTTCTAATGGAAAAAATACCCACATCATCAAGCAATACTATAATGAAAAACAAGTAGTCAATAAAAAGAAATTTGTGTTTTCAAAAAAGCATTGAGGCATAAGGCCAGAATTCTACTTAGGTTTGGTCATTTGGAAATATTCTCATCTATAAAATCGATCCATAATTGAGTAATAAGGGTAATATTAATAGAGATGCTTTGAAATGACAATGTGATTTCTTCTAAGGGATTTTCATTAATAATAAAGATCTGGTAAGCCATTTAGTCCCTTTTCTTGTGTCCTCATGACATCCATTTTAGGTAGGTAGGAAAACAGTGGTCCTGAACCTTGGCAGTACATTAGAATCACCTGGGGAGCTCTCAAAAACCCTGATGCCCAGGCTGTACCCATTACTAATTTTTAATGTGAGAGAAATAACAGCACATTTGTGTGCTGATGAGAATATCCTCCCCCAAACGTGTTCTTGTCCTACGTTTTCCACCTTTTCATTTTGGACCTTTTGTGCCAAGGGTGGAGTTAATCAGAATCCCTGGAGGTGGGACCCACACATCAATTCTCCTGATGCCCCAAGTGCTCAGATCATTCATTCCCAATGAACACAGTTGCAGTGCAATGAATAATTAAAATTCCAGAGACCCACTGATGCTCCTCAGGTACTTGGGGCCAACACTCTGCTTCTGCAAGAACCACATGGAACAGGAGGATGAGTATCAATCTTATTTTCAAAAACTTCCAAAGAAGGACCTTCTACCATCCCCCTGTATCCAACCCCTTATGCCCCTAGCTGGACTGAGTATTCTCTCAGTAGGGGCCTCCTAAATCTACCAAGGAAACAGTGAGCAAAAAGAGACCCTGACCTTGAAGTCATCTACCCCTTAAGACAGGGCATGGGATTGGGGTGGGAAAGATGATGGTGTCAAGGAGGAGCCAAAACCTGTCTTTTCATAACTTTTACATTTTGGTCTTAGTTGTTTCTGTCCTCTGAAAATAGACTAAGTCTACTGTCTTTTCCATAGCATGGTCATATAACTAAAGAAGATACGCCTTTAGAGTCATTATCATTCCCTCACCCCTCCCCACCTGCCATACCTGAATCTACTGTCTCTGCCTGGGACAGGGGACTTAGGTATCACCTGAGCTGGCCAGAGCACAGGGGACATTCACTTGTCTCACCATGGGCCCTGTGGACTCCCTTTTTCTATTGAGCCCAGTGTAACAACTCATTAAGCTCATGTTGAGTCAGTGGTCACCAAAAACACCCAGACCTTTTTCAGAGAACTTGTGATCACATTATGTTTCCGTCATCCTCTATTGATGCATTTCATTTTGGAATCAAAGTTCAGTTTTCACATTCTCCCCAGATCGGTCTCATTTGGTTGGTTTGGACTGAGGGCTCAAGCTTCCTAAGAACATTTTGGCTCTTGGTACTCTTATCTGTCATTAGTCCCCTAGGCTTGGTACCATTTGAACTTGTTGCAGAGAGGAGCTGTGTTCTATCCATATCTCTGTTCCTCACATGTGTGGTAGTATGCTGCAATGGTTAAACACATAGTCTCAGACCAAGTTGTCAGGACTAGAATCCTGGCTTCTCCACTACCAACAGCACAGACTTGGGCAAGTTGCATGTCTCAGTTTTCTTACCATAAAAACAGGAAGAACCATAGTACTCATTTCATAGAGTTGTTGAGATGATTAAATAACATGTGAAGAACCTAGAATAGTACTTAGTACATAGTAAGCGTGATATACTACTATTACCTGGTAAGTAGTGCCCAATAATTATTTGAAAAACTGAACTGACAGGCCGGCCCCATGGCTCACTCGGGAGAGTGCAGCACTGGTAGCGCCGAGGCCGCAGGTTCGGATCCTATATAGGGATGGCCGGTGCGCTCACTGGCTGAGCGTGGTGCAGACAACACCATGCCGAGGGTTGCGATCCCCTTACTGGTCAAAAAAAAAAAAAAAAAAAAAAAGAAAGACTGAACTGACTCTTGCTTTAAAAAGAAAAATTGAAATGGTCAAAAAAACTTGTAGTTCTGCAGCTCTTCACTAGAGACCTCCTTCCCAAATGTTACATGACTATTTATTACTAAACATTCTGAGGTCCTAGTAGACATTAAAAGAAGAAGTAGTTACAGTCAAAATAAACTTGTTGCAATTGGAACAGCTCAGGAGAATTAAGAATTTTAAGGATCATATAGTGATAATGAGTCCTTTATATTTTAGACCTTAGGTGCCAAGGGTGGAGTTAATCAGTTCATGGCACACTATCATTAGTAGATGGAAAGAGAGAGAGGTGTCTTAGAACTCTGTGGATCAATAAAATTGTAAAATTGCTTCCCACTTCTCTCATCACATGAATTGTTTGCTACTGAAACATTGATTTACTCGCATACATGTGCATCAGGGTTTCTCTAAAAAATGTGTTGCTCCCACCACCAAATCCAACCTACTTGCTTTTCAACCCTGCCTGCTCCAGCTGACTTATGTCACTACAGCTGGACTGGCCTCCATGGGCACCCACCTCCATCCCATTTTTTTACTCAAGGATTTCCCTCCCACACTGCCGCATCTCTCCTCCATCATCAGTTTTTTTCTCTTTTCTCTTTAACTGGACTCGCTATTTGTTGGTGGTGGAAATCTAGGACAGGAATAGGTTTGGGGGAGGATATCATTCTCATCAGCACACAAATGTACTGTTATTTCTCCCACATTAAAAAGCAAAACAAAACATGATGTCATATTCCCCTCCAGCTACAGCCCTATTTTCCTGTCTTTTATTGCAAAATTCTACCAAAGCATTTTCCAGACTTGTTTGTTCCCCTCTTCCTTTTTTTTTTTTTTTTTTTTTTTTTTTTTTTTTTTTTTTTTTTTTTTTTTTTTTGTGACTGGGTAAGGGCTTGGTGTCGCCCGCACCACGCTCAGCCAGTGAGTGCACAGGCCATCCCTATATAGGATCCGAACCCACAGCCTCCGCGCTCCTCCCAGTGCGCTGCGCTCCCAGTGCTGCACTCTCCCGAGTGAGCCACAGGGTCGGCTCCTCTTTTCCTTTCTTAATCAGGTTTTCAACCCTGCTACTGCACTGAAGTTGCTTTTTGTCAAGGTCACCAAAGACCTTCACATTGCCAAAAACAAGGATCTATTCTCAGACCTTATCTCATTCAACCTACTGTGTGCTTTTGCCTTAGCTGATCACTCCCTGCTCCTTAAAAGTGTCTTTTCCTGGTTTCCTGGTTTCCATCTCTCTTTGTTCCCCTCTTTCAGGTTCTCATCAATCTGCCCTTCTGCACCATGGAGATCAGATGTTGGATCTCTACTCTTTTCCGTCTATATTCACTCTATAGGTCATCTTATCTGGCCTTGTGACCTTGCTGGTGACTCCACTTAAGTGTTTGAAAGACATTTCAAATCAAACAAAGCAAACTCTTGATTTCCTCCTCCCAGATATGTTCTTGTCCTAGATTTCCACCACCAGCAAATAGCAAGCCAGTTACTCAGGCCAAAAACCAATAACTCTGTAAAGATGGTATCATTATTCCCATTTTACAGATGAGGAAACCAAAGCAGAGAGGTTAAGCAGCTTCTAAACCAAGATCTGAATCTAGCTCTGTGTAACTTCCATTGACGACTTGCTGTATCTCTAATTCTTGTGTATTGTCTTGTTTCCCATAAATAGATTGAAGTTTCTAGGGTGCAATGACTGGGTTTTATGTTTCTCTAAAATTCATCCCTTACAGAAACCATTACAATGTGAACT